TGTTTCCCTTTCTGTTGCGTGGCGGAGCGTGAGACATTAGACTCATTCTTTGAAAAATATATAGCATCAAAAAACATTAACGGACCTTCACTTTCCCCTCCTAAAGGAAATGCTCAAAGCTCAGATTACTGATCAAAACGGGTGACATTGCATCCAAGCAGTATAAATTTTATTTAAAACCTTTAGGTTCTACTGGTAAATCCATGTTCTGGAGATAACCTACTTCTGAAGATAAGGCAACGTGCAGATTAGTATGGAAAGCACAGACCTGCAGCAGCCTAGCTATAGATCAGTTTAAGCTGCTATAAAATTCCCTCTTGGCCTTGGGAGTGCCAAACTGTGGAACAGAGCGGTGCAGAACCATTTCTAAATGACAAGCCTGAACTTCTGTCTACGGGCGAGTGCTCACAGGAGATCTCCTGCCTCCTGTAATGGCTTTTACACGTGATCAGGCACAAAGAAGGGCCTGAGGCATACAGTGCTGAGGCCTGTGGATGTTACCAGCTCTTCTTGCTCAGGAGTGTAACTAGGCCAGGTGAGGTGGAGAACGTGGAGCCAGCCACATAGCCACGGCTATAGCAATGCAGGCACCATCCCTCCTGGTGTGGAGGTGCTCCAGTGAAGTCTGAGATACCTTGTGTTCCCCAAAATATTTACTATCTACACTAAAATACACGTTTATCTATCTAATTAGAACAAGCAGTCCAGGAAAAAGTAACTTTCTGCAGGTAGAAGGCTCAAGGCCTCTGGAAGGAGATGGCAACACAGTCTGCGTATGCAACTACAGAATGTCCTTATTCCAAAGTGATGTGAGGCCCTTACTCAGGCATTAGCACTGCCAGTTACCCACAGAAAAGTCCCAGCTTAGCAGAGAGGTATTTTCACCCTAGGACAGAGGCTGTCCTGGAGCTACACTCAGAATGATTATCACTTTTCTGTGATGTTTTCTGAAGAGCTGAAAGTCCTCTTCTCTTCCCCTCTGCAGTGTCGGTGCTCAGCAGGCAAGATAAGCTCCTGCATAGTGCAGTACAAGTAACCCTGGAGTCATTCTGGTAGTACTAAGAACAAGCAGATACAGCTGCCAGAGTAGATATGCTCTGTAGATTCAGCATGGCTGCTGAATGGAGCTTTAGTGCATAAACAGTAAGTGAGGCTTGGTTTCACAGCACAGCTGCTCATACTTGGGCTTGCCTAACTCTGATATAGCTGTCATTAACCACATTAATTAAGAACATGGCTGTAGCAACCAAGGAAGCTGTTTCTCATTGCTGAGAAACTTGAGTTTCAGTTGAGATTTCTGCTATGGGAAGTTGTCTACCTGAAGTTTTTGACAACAGTGTTTGAAATGAGGAGAGATTAGGTGGAGGATTTAAAATGAATCAAATTTGGGTGTGATCTAACCTTCTATCATTGATCCCCCTTTCCAATATGAAAGCAATCAAGTTACAGAGATGTGCTTTCACTTGTTAAAGGAAAGAGGAAAACAAGATGTTGCATTAAAGCTCCTCATTCTCCGAGGAGCAACGCAGAATCCTCCCAGCCTGAGGCAGGTCAGTCCTGTTGGAAGGAAGAGCAGTTAAAACCACAGCTTGGTCCAAAACTGCCTGGTAAAAATGGTCTCTAGCAGCTCTGCTTCCTGTCACTGCTGCTGCCTCTCCTAGGAAACATTTTGGCCGTGCTTGGCTCAGTGGGCAGCTGCTTCCCCACCTCTGTGAGCTTTTCCAGAAACCCAGAGGTCCCAGGCACTGTGCACAACACAGGCTGTTTTCGCCAGCCCTTGGTGCTGCCTTCACTTTCTCTAGCCCTGGAAGTTATCGTTGAGAAGTTCATTCTTGAAGAGATGAACAGGGAGATCCTTTTAAATCTTCATTTCAAACATGTCATACGTACCATTTTTTCGAAGTTTACTAGATTGTCAGTGAACGTCTTGTTTCCCTCATGAGTAAATGTCATGTCTGTATAGAAATAAAAGCCACATAAAAGCCCATTACTGAATCACGGCCACGCAAAACAGCAGAACGTTTTATCTATCCCTCGCAACAATCAAAGCAGCTATAAAAGTAAAACATTTGGATTTTAATTTGCAACGTTTCTGAGACTAGTAAAACCGAGGTATGATATTCAGATGTACTAAAGCAGTTTTTCTTGCTTCTGTGTGATGCTTTTTATAATGGGAAACAGATCACACCTCACACTGAGATTGATTTCTGTGTTTTCTTGCTGCTGCTGTTATTCTCCAAGTATCTGACAAATAGCTTTCAAGTTAATAATTCTGGTAACATCCGAGCTTACCTTTTATAAGTAGAGGCATGAAAGGAATTATTGGAGGGTCCAATTTAGCTACAGTCAGTCTGTAGGCCCTATGGTTCCTTGATGGATCCTTAAGGAAAAAGGAGAAATCAAATAATTACTAATATGTATTATTATATGTATTGAGACACCGTATGCATTCATTTAGGTGTCATGGCATTTATTAAAACCATTATTTTCTCCTGTGGCTTTAAAAGTGCATCTGCAAACTAAGACACCTTTCATCATTCTCCCATACAGCTTACGTGGTGAGAATGCAGCTGCCGAACAGAAACATTTTTCATGCCAAACAGCAAGGTAGGATATGATTACAAAAGAATTTTTCATAAACAAAACCATACATTTTTCCTCCCTCCGTGCAGCTGCAGATCCAGTTTTGCATATGTTGTACCATTAAAATGTATTGCCTGGAAAAATCCAGGTTGGAAAACATCATTTCCCATGTATACTATTGGAAAACATGTGATAAAGCTCTTCTGAGTTCTCAGATTAACTTTGAGTGGTACATAAGTTCTCTTAGAGTAGGTTCCTAAGAGTATAATTTATTAGTCATACATACTTGTTTTAGCGGCTCTAAAATGGGATCATAAACTTCTTAAAGTCAAACAAGGACATATAAAATGTTCTGAATCAAGGAATTCAACTCAGTTCCTCAGAAACTGAATTAGCTCAGATTGTGCATAGAATAAGGGATCTATTGCTATTCACCATTAAGCTTTCAAACTCTGCATAGATCTTCTTGAACTTGCTTGGAAGTTTCTGTTAATAAAAACAAAAATAGCAAACCTTAATTAAATCCAATTTTACTGTAAATGCTAGATCCTTCTACAACACCCTAAGTCAGGAAAGTGCTCTTTTTGCCAGATATTTCTACCGATGTGCTAATCTAAAATACAACAGGTCTCCTAGCAACCAGATTATAAATAGAGACAGGGCCAGCCATGAAACCTGGATCCTGATTTAAACCCGAACTCGAATTGACTCCTTCGGGATGTTTAGATTCAGGTTTTTGTTTGGCTCCCACCACAATCACTGAATTCAAAACGTAAGTCAAAGTTCAAGTCAGTGGTTTCAGGACATCCCTGGTTATAACCTACCTGAAAATATAACTTACACCCAGCTCGCGTAGGGGTAGCTCAGCTTAATTATTCATACCTATGGTGATCTGCCCTTGCAACATTCAAAGCCATGCCTGGATATTTCCAGGAGGGTTTTTTCGGTTCATGCTGACGTATCATCAACTACTGCTCTATTTCTTCATGTGCCCAGCAGCCAGGGGCCTCTACCACTTTCTGGGGTATAAAGTAACGAATAGTTTTCCAGTCCACAATAGCTACATGAATGAATCATGGTCAGCTGATCATGCAGTGATTGGGATGAGATGCACTTTACTCAATATTTTCTTGCCCCTCATGTTAGACATAGTAAATAATTTTACTATAAATACTGAGAAATACATTATGAATTCATTTCAGAGATCACAGCAATGTTTTATGCACACTTAGAATATGCCATCTTCCTAGTTTTAATAAGAAATTTCTCTATGCTTGCTGATTAAATCAGACTACTACTGGCGGCGGGTAACATTAAAAATTAAAAGAGATTTTATAGTGCAGAAATTATTTTTTGCAATACTTTCTACATTTGGAGTGTGTACCCGAGAAGATATTTACACTGTGCCACAGCAAGGGCCTAATTTTTAATGATGTGTGTGAACAACTGTGTGCCTAGTTTGCATATGCATGCAGATTAGGTATTTGTGAAATAAGTGGTATAATTGGACATTTGCACCTGCAAATATCTAATTTGTGCATGCAACTAATGGAAATGCACGGTAATACAGCAAAAATCAGGTCTTGGGATGTTTTTTCCAAGTATATTCTGTATATATATCTAGCTAAAAATCATGCTGCAGAGATTGTCTTTATAAACCAACTGCTCTACAGAACCAGTGTGATCACATTTCCCCGAAGAAGTTCATAGCCCACACCTACAAATTATCTGCACCGCTCCAGCTCGGACCCTGTGCTCATTTCCAATTGCTGTGTTAGTATGTACATTCAATTCCCTCTTCTCTCTTCCTACTACTCCTGTACTGGCTCAGCTCTCCCAACTACTCCTCTTAGGAGCCACTAATGAAGGTTATCATTTTGAAAAACTGATCTGCAGATCTCTGCCTTTAGCACCGATGTTCTATGCCACCCGCAACACGTACTTTTGAAAATTGGACTGGTGTGTACTCAGATGTGTTAGTCTGATCTCCTATTTCAGAGCACTTCTTAAAAGGTGTTGAAAGTTTGGTCTCAGTTGCATCAATGACCTCAGTCATGCTAACTGTTCTGAATTTCTAATGAACAAAAATGCATGCATGTCCAAATCCACACTGCTTTTAACAGCCAGTGTGTTCTTAGTGGTTACATGTGCTTACTGACTCACCCTGCTGGACATTGCACCCTTTCTGTACACTCACATACAAAAGAGCAAAGTCACAGAAAAAGGTGGAAGCTCTGAGAATGAAGACCAAACTGGTGGTAAGCAGGGGAATGCATGTCAGAGAGAAAACCAGAACTGGTTAGGACAAACCCGCATTCTCATAGGGCAACAGGATCTATATGGAGATCAGCAAATAGTATGTATACACTGAGGATGGGTTTTAGAGAAGTATCTATGGAGTGATCTCACTAAATGAGCAGTGAAGTCAGAGGAGGTGCTGATGTAAGAGGCTAACTGCCTAACTCGCTCATCCTGCTGGGTGCAGCAACAGAAGCTGCTGTTGTAGCTCTTGTTAACCACTTGTGAGTATTCAACGTGGGTACGCTGCCTTGCTAATGACAGCTGTCAGCCTTAGTTAAAGGCTTCTGCTCAGGAGCTGAATTAGATCTGATTTTATCAATAATAAAGGCCCGACTTACTTTTTTGCCAACTAAAAGCACAAACCCCAGTCAAACTTCTTGGAATGGGATTAGACTTACCTCCCATGTTAACGAGAGACGGCTCACAGCAACGTTACTCAGTCCCATGATAATAGCAAAAAAGGAATTCAGATTTTTGTATTCTTTACAGCTGAAACACAAAGGGCCAGGTTTTAAGTTGTACGTATCAGTCAGGGCAGAAGTACACATGACAACCTGGAGAGAGCTGAACCAGGCATCTCGCACAGATGTGACTGAATTTGGGCAGCCCTGGCCAGAATGTCTGCGGCACACCATTCCTCCAGTGGGTGAGCAATTCACCACACTTCGGAGGCTCCTTTCCCCTCCCTCCTAAAATGACCTCCTGCTTCCATCTCACCGAGTGCCAGCTTTTGTAAAGACATTAAAGGAGTCTTTGAAGTTCCTCCCCACCCAGAAACACAGTCCCGAAACTGGGCTCACTTCAGTCCCAGGGAATACCAGAACAAGTGGAAGCAACTGGTTTACAACCTCATTTGCTGCAGAACTTGCTGACAGCTTCTGAATAGCTACTGAACGCTGGAAGGTGTCCCTAGATGATCTTCATCGCAGTTTACAGGGGCACTGAGTCTTTCTAGAGGGGGAAGACCAGCTGCCTAGAGAGGCCTGTGTGCCAGTGACCTCTGTTGCTGTATATGATTTCTAACCAGTAGACATTGTAGATTATGGAAGTCTTTAGGATGTTTCAAGCAAAGAACCATTGGTTACCAGCATCATTAAAGAGGCCCTGGGCACTAGGAAGAACAAGGTCATGCTTCAGCCCTAATGCAAGAGAACTTGTGCTACCGATCAGGAAAAACTGGAACATGCGACTGAGCATTATGGAAGATCCAGCAGACCATATGCAGGAGCAGACACAGTCTGACAGGAACACCCCACACAACCGCTCAGCTGGGACTGCATCAGGTGGCTCATTGACTCAATGGGAAGGGAGGAGAGAGGACAAAGCCTGAATCTCATAAATCCATGTCTCACTAGGTTCCTGCAAGTAATTTGCTATTTTTCACAACTGATTTGCCAACATCTGATTGCAGAGCCTCAGTGTCTGCTTCTACTGCTGTTTACCAAGAAAACTTTCACAAGATCCAAGCTATGATTCTCAAGATTTTTTTTTATTAATTGCTGAAGCTCTTAGCTCTTCTGAGGTATCCTCAGCTCCAGATGAAATTAGTGCAATCATCACATCCCACTGACTCCGTAATTGCCAGATCACCCTATTGCTACTTTGCTCTTTCTGTCCATCCATCTCACCAGACTCAATGTACTGAGCGGGTGAGTCCTTTAGGTCTGGTCCTCACTTGCGTCTGCGCTGCGTGAACACTGAGTGCGTGAAAAAATGCTCTCTCCCGTCTGATGGTCTGTTTGTTGGCGACTGCTGCCCCCTCAGATCTTCTGGCAGAGCTGCTCATACCAATTCTCCCTCATCAGATTAGGACAGCGAGCAAGGTTAGTGAAGATAAGCTGAAATGCTACAGCTACCCCAACTTATTCTGAGTAGAGCAGGTCAGGGAGTGCCTCGTTAGTGGATCTGAGGGGAGATAAGGATGAAAAGCAGCCAGGATAGGCTGTCAGTGAGAACCTCTTCCCCAGGCACAACTACATCTAGAAAGGGATATCTGTCCACAGCCTGTGACATTGAGAATAAATTGTGACACGGTAAAAATAATTAGTACCACACAGCAGTAGTGCTCAAACATCGTAGGCAGCTGCAAATGTACCTGCAATATGTAATCTGAATATTTCATTTTAAAAAGGAAAAGTTTTGCCCAATACCCTGTTAAGTAATGTAATTTGACTAAATCCCTGTTTAAATCAATCGAGATGCATGACATTCTACACCAAATATTCTGTAACTCCTACAGGCTCTGCACGACATAGCTCAGTTGTAGACAGAGGACCACCCTGAGGTAGTAGAAACAGTGCTGCCTGGCTCCACTGCATATACGTTGCCTGTGAAATGTCAGAAAGTGGATCCTGCAAAGCACCACAGTGTGCTCAGAGCAGAGGTCCCTCTGCCTCCCAGAACGGACTGTACTGGAGAAATCTTCCTGTTAGTAAGAATGGTGAACACACACATATTCACACACTCCTCTCCAACACAGACACACGTAGTTAAAATCTCTCAGTACATACACGAGCATATTCACCTGGGTATTTTCTCTGTAAGCACCCTTCAAAAATTGCTTACAGGCTTCTTGGGTTTATAACATACGCATATGTATGGAAAGAATGACTTTCAAAAGCTGAACACAAATGTCTGAGTATAGTGATATACAAGAAGGCTTCTAAATAGCCTGTGGGTATATCTGCACAAAGGAAATACCCACAAACTGAGTTTGTGCATATCCACGAGAGTACGTGCAAGGACATCCTAGAAGACCTTTCTAATACAATTAATATGGGAAGAACTCACTGTAGGAAATACAGTTCATTTCTCCCCTTTGAAAATTTAATCCTGCAATGGCTGGAGAAAAGCGATGAACCTGGTAACCTCTACATCCTTTCCCAGCAGATGCAAAGGCAACAACGGCTCCTGAACTGAAGGCACATGTACACAGCACTTGAAGCCAGCACTTGGCCTTGTGCTTGCCCACACAGGCAGGGAGCACACATCACAGGGTGTGCGGGGTGGCAGACACAGAACGATGTGCCTTCAGCGGCGGCGTCTGGGCCCCCATCACAGAGCTGAAATGGGGTGCTCAGTACCAGCTACCTTTGAAAATCGGTAGGTGCGAGGCATCTCGTTACCACCAGTCCTAGCGCAGATTAATAGCGCAGCACGGAGCTGTTCTCCTCCAACGCTTTTCTAATGAGTCTAGCACTTGTAGGTAGGGTAAAGTTCTCATTAGGTCTCAAGGATCTTCACAAGCAAAACTTCCTCAAAGATATTGCTTCAAGGCCTGGGCCCGCATCTTTTGATCCGATTCCTTGGCTTTTTCTCCCCTCTAACTTCGGTGCACTTTGTGTTTGTTTTAGCGCAAGCTGTAGCACTGTTACCATGGCAGCGCTGTGCAGAGGGCAGCAGCCTGGCAAAACTTCCCAGCGCCTTTCCAAGCAGCTGCAATTAAACCTGCCCGCTCGGTTTGTGCGGAGGAAAATCTTGTGCTTCAGATTTCTCTGCTTTTAGGAGACAAAGAGGACTCAGCAGAGCAGACTGCTTTTAGCTATTTATTTTTAGCATTGTAGCGATACCAGAAACATGGAAGTAAACAGGAGGTTGCCAAGCTGTTGTAAATAGCATAGGCTTAAACCCGTGACACGGAGGAGCCCGTGGGCTAGGGCGGTTTATTAAGGAGATCTTTAACTGTAATTTTTAGGATACTTGATTTCAAGCGTTTATGGAAATTACTATTGTATCTTAATTGACCACACTTCAACATTTTCCTGCTTCACGCCACCGAGTTAGGAAAGACCCCGCCGCTCCTGGGCGCGGGTGCCACTGCCCTCTGCTGGGCACGGCCCGCCAGGCCCACGGCTCCTCAGCTCTGCTCTGCGCAGGGAGCTCACGGCGTATGCGGCACAGACATATTTTAGAAATTAAAGAGGTGAATCCTGGCCTCTGTTCTGAATATACACCTGATCCTGCGTGCCCACCCACTAGACCTTGAAAATCTTCACCTTCGACCAACCGTAATCCAACGGGAAGGCCCAAAGCAGCTCGCAGAAGGAAGTCTGTCCTTGCAGAGCCGGGCCCTTCCCGGAGGAGAAGGAGGGAGGCCCGCTGGTGCAGTGTCCATGTGAACCCTGATTCCCGTGGAATTATTAACTGGGAGGAGGGCAGCATCACAGCTGTAATGGTAATCTGTTCTTCACACAGCTACACTTAATGATGCAAAAAGCAAAAACTCATGGATTAACTGCAAGTAATAACTTCTTTCTTTGGTAAGGCTGCCTAAAGGCCTCCAGTCCCAATGCCCAAAGTCGGAGGCAAACACTTCAGCAGGCGGTTCCTCACTGCACATGTGAGCAAGCTGTTCAGACAGCGATGAAAGCAATAAACACACCACGAACTGGAAAGGAAGAAGGAGGGTAACAGTGCTAAAAACTGGAGCTGTGCAGGGCAGGGGGATGCCCCTGCTCCCTCTGAAGTCAGTCATGTTCTTGCCCTTGACTTCAATGATATGAAGTCAAGGCCAACATCTTTGGCACGAAGGCTCCAAAGAACTTAATATGAATAAAATAAGACAGAAAGAATTGCTTTCTATCCAACCTCAGACCCAGCAGTTAGTAACAAAAAAGGACATTCACATTATTGCATTTTTAAACTAAAGTATTAAGAAAATATCCCAAGCAAACTGATGGTAGCACAAGCCTCGCCATCTCCATGCTACACCTCTTCAGCTGCTTCTCTTGGTTTTCCCACTCAGGGCAATTGTGAGAACAGCTTTACTGAACAGCACCAGAAACAGCTCTGTTCTCAGGAAAATTAAGGCTCAGTTTTGTTAATATTTACTAATTTGCACATTAATATTTGGTAAGGCTAAATGAAGGATTATCCTAATGAACCGAAATATATTTACTCACAAATGTGAAAACATGGCCTTAAGAGACCACAGATCAAGGAGCAATGGAAAGTAGCACAGGAATGAAGAACATCTATTAAAAAGGTTCTATACATCCCTATAAGGAAATGGACAGAATTACCAAATGGAGAACGTTTTAACCTCTAATGTGTGTGGTTGTCTGAAAATAAAAAAGAAAAATAGCAACAAATTGACTGTACTCAACCTCATTTCAAGTTCACAGATGACTGTATACTTACTGGGCTGCTATCTTAATATACTTCTTTAGCAGCTGAACACGTTTGCTGAGTTGAGAGCAAAGACAAATCTCAGTGACCACCCAGAACTGAATTTCATTAAATCTTCTTAAAAACAAGTCCAGATTTGCAGTGGTCTTTTTAAAATTGTGCCTTCCAAAAGTGTGATAGATCAATTCCAGCTGAGGAAAAAGAATATATTGGGATTTTTTTAAAGAAATTTCATCTTTTGGACAGAGGAAAGAGGCTAAGAATGACCAGGTAAGTATCTAGCCTGAAACTCGCTCTGCAGTTTATGTTTATTGCTGTACAGTGACAAGGAGGCATGCTAAAAGCCTAACTGCAGACTATGTATAAGTAGCTTAATACCTTGAAGCACACAAAAGTAATTCAATAAGCAGCACTTATTATTAAAGTTTAACTTTATTTTTGCATTTTGCCTAAAAATTTAAGAATGCCTTATGCTTTCAAAACTTGTAGGTGGCTTTATTGTGGTATTTTTGAAAATCAAGTTTAGCGAAAGTTTTGCAACTAATGCACAAACCTACAATGAACCACTAAACATCCTGTAACCAATTCCACTCTGCTGAAAAGAGAGACTGTCATACCTCATGCACACAGTTGAAGAGCTCCCAGTCATAAATGGTCATCTGGTGTGCTAAGTCTTTGGAGCTCATCAGTTCAAACGTTCCCACTGTACCAGCAGATGGTCCTTCTTGTTCTGGTAATGGTGCCTGCAAGTGAAATACGGTATAAAAATATTTAAGAAATATTAACTTGCACGATTGGTGCTTTACTTCCATAATGTTTCGGACTTCTTTTGTTCATTGTGGCCACTTTCCTAAGCATGTTTCCAATGGTAAACCTGAAATTTGCTTTTAACCACAGGCTGGCATTAGGAAATGAGACAGCCTGTGCAAAATCAGTACCCACTATGCACAAGACACTCAGGAACATTCTGAAAGCTCTTCAGAGGCACTGTAAGGAAATAAACCAGATTGTTCTCAGTGTGTTATTTTTAGCATTGTTCTAAAACTTGAAGCCAAAAAAAAAACAACCCTTCAATACACGTCGTGCTAACTAAAGCATGCCCGGTTGTTGAGGAGCATAAGTCTTTCCACAGAGCTTTTGCGATATGTTTCCTTTTCCACATGCACAAATAACTAGGCCACAAAGCACAAGCCAAATACTTTTGCAAATTACTGATTCTAGTGACGAGAATTTTTACATCTGCCACACTTCAGAATTCTGCAGTGATTGCGAGATCTTCTGATCGTTTATAGAGCAAGCCTCATACTCTGACAGTACAGGGATGCACTACTCGTGACTGCAAACCTCCGGGCTATGCTAATTAAAATACGCACATAGTCTTATGAGAAAGAGTCCTTTAAATCATCCAAGCTAAAAACATTTTTGAAAGACATTTCCATACCACCCAATAAATGAGATGTGGTCCACAGTTGTGCACACGAGTAAATCTTACACCAAAAAGAGATTTAAAACATGGCTTGAGATCGCGTCAGATTTTAATTGGTCTGTTGTATATATTATTTATATGTATTTATTTGTATATATTATATTATATGTATATTATTTGAACCATCGCCGCTGAAATGCTAGCAAACAGCCCTCTTGCCAACTGAAATGCATTACACCAGGAAAGCTTCCTGTTTTAATTGTTTTGTTTCCAGGAGAGGGCAGTAGAGCTCATTTACAAGTTCCTCGATTTCTCCTGGGGTCTTTGTCAGACAGTTAAAGAGCAGGGAATTGTCAACAAGCTCCTGAGTACAAACTCAGTACAGTCGGCAGGATTAACAGACTATATTTACATACTGCAATAGCAAAAAAGAGCTTCCTAAATCAATCCCCTTTTATGTAAGAATGTTATCTTACCAACAGAAAAAGGACTGACTGGATTAACACATCACTTTCTCATTAACACATAGTGTGTAGGAACTTTATTTCTGTACAAGTTCTTGCTTTGTACTTCAGGGAAAACTTGTAATCCAAATATCATCATAATACAAATGAATTAAAATTAATCAAACTAAACCACAGGCATTATTACTGTAAAATCTACTCCTACAATTTAAAGTATTATCTAAAAAATCAGGACAACCATCAATCTTATAACAGCCTGCGGATTGCTCTGAACTGGGGTTTGCACAAACACAAAATTTATTTAGTTTAAAACAGAGTATGAATTAAAAGTAGAGCAGTTTTGTGTAGAAAATTCTGATTTGTGGAGATCTGTGGAAAGAGAATTGCCCATAGACTGAAAGAGCACTGCTTCTCCCTATTTGGAGACAAACTCAACATAGCTGTTACCATAACAAACACATATTTTCCAGTGCTAGGAAAGAAGCACTTAGATGTAAACTCATTGCATATTTGAAAATTCATCTAACCCAGAACAATTTTCACATCAGAATTGCCAAATGTAATGTGAATAAATGTACACGCACAGGCAGCAGCCAGAAATTGGGATGTGAAATGATTAAATGGGGAGGTAGGCAAGGTTGTAACATACTTCCATTTGTTTATACCTCTTTGAAAAAATGCGGTTGATAAGGGGGTGTATTCTGTTATGCAGTGCTGAGAACCTTTATAAAGATGCTGCGTGTTCCTCCCTAATTCCTG